ACTCGTCATCGTCGTATGTGGTTGTCGATATATTTCCAAGTCTGTTTGCCCACCTCACCCCGCAGGGCTACTCGCATGGCTCGCTGATCGCATCCATGCATCCGGTGCTCCCGGACTTGGACACGTCCCACATCCTTCTCTCGTATCCCCTCGGCCCGCGTCACTGGCTAACGGCATTCCACACGCATCGGTACACCGCCGCGCTCCAGGGTCTCATCCGCGACCCGAAATCAAACGTCCTCGTCATATACGGCGACGGCGACAACTTCACCGCCGTGGAGAGCTACGACGCGTGGGCGAAGGGGTTGAAAGACTTGCACGCGGCAGAAGCGACGGCCCACGGGAAGCTCGAGGTCGTCGAGATCGCTGGCGCGTCGCATTTCTGGCGAGAGCCGCCGGCTGTCCGCCGTCTTCTGGATGTTGTCCGGACATGGGTGCACTGACGTGCCGAGCCGAGCGACCTTCAGTACCGACTACCTAGGTGATTGTGTATATCCGTCGCAAATACTCTGAGAATATCTGACTCGTAGATGGTTTTACGTGGCGTCATTGATCGCTCGAACAGGAATCACACGGGTAACATGGTGCTACTCAACTGTATAACCAGAGAACTACGCTGGACTATATGCGCTTTACCGGGTACCCCCACTTGCCGGCAAGTCCCCAGAGCGCGTAGCTCTGTATACCGCGCTCGAGCCTGAGCGAACTTCTGAAGAGTCAGAAGACCCCGAACTTCAAAGGAGGCCCACGTGGCCCTAAGGCTTTGTCCTCGTCTGTGCAGGGACAGGACAAAGCGCACGCTTTACCCTATATAAACAGTCCCGCAAGCGGATGCAGAGACGTTAGCCTCCCATGCTCCTCTCGCAGGTACGTGCCACTCGCACTAAAGTGCGATGTCGTCTCATGTTCCGCTCGCAGCCGCGCGGGCGACCTCCGAGCACCGCCGCCGTGTTATTTGTTCACGGCGACCTGCACCACGGACGATCCGTCTCGTTCCGATGACTCCCACATCGCCCTTTACGCGCTTCCTAGACGGTCAGCGCCAGCGATCCCGTCGATTCGCCTCACCGGGTCATGCTCGTCAACGCTGCACCACCAGCAATGCCTACCCACAGGCAATCTCTGCGTCCCCAGACGCATCCTCCCCACGAGCGCGACCGCACACGCTCCCTCCCTCCTTCTCGCGGTACGACCCCGCTAAGGCGCCCTCCCGTAGGCCCATGCACTGCTACCACACGCGCCGAGTCCTCGCTCCTCTCCTCAGAGTCCGCTGCGCCACCCTCTGGCAACCCCAAGTCCATGACTTGTCCAGCTCTTTCCCGCACACCTGCCATGGCTCACCCTGGCTCACCCCTTCGAATTCCCATCTGCAACGAGCGGCGTGGGCGCATCACTTGCACGACCATGCTCCAGCCTTCATCGAGACGCTTCTCTCTACTATGGAGCACAACAAAGGCGTGAACACCGGCCTACAGCTTCGCCCCTTGAGCAACGCGTCCATGGCCCGCCCTTCTGCTCCTCGCCTCTCGGAATTGCCGCGCGGAAGGGAGCTTTTTCACAGCCTCGCGTGATACACTACCTCTCCCGCATCTCTATCAACGAGATATACGACTCGAAAGCGTCCCTTCTGTACTAAACCTTTCAATCTGTTGTCCACGCCTTCCGAGTCGCGGGTCAGCTATGACCTAGCTGGAGCATGAACAAGCTCTCTGCCAGATTCACATCCGACAAGTGGGACATCATGGACACAATTTTTGTGGAGGTATCTGTGTTAATCCCAGTGAAACTCGTAGCTGCAACACCCAGGTCATATTATACAATGTACTACGTCGCCTGATGTAAACTTGCGTAGATATCTTGCGAAATCTCGACTTGCTACGGTGATACTACCACACACATCCTATAAAGCAGCGGGCACACAGGCCGCCCCGAGCGTGCCACTCATTGACCAGCGGTATCCTCTGTCGCCTGTACAGTCTGCGGCTCAACGCAGGGATAGAGGACGATGCTCCTGTCGGGCCTAACGGAGCGGCTCTCCGACGGATGCACGTACATGACCCCGTCCTGCTTGTCTTCCTCGGCGTCGGCGATGCCATGTCTGTGGTCAACAGCGCGTAGTAGTCAGCACAGACGTCCGAACGCATATAGCCCGCCGGAGCAGCACACACTTCTCGTGGAGATGGTTCTCCATAGCACCGCGCCCCTTTGCATTGAACATCGGGCAGAGCGCGCAGCACCACGTCTGCTCCGCCTGGAAGTACTGTAGCGTCCGCCTCTGCCAAGTCGTCTGGGCCTGCGCCGCGTGCACTTGCGCCATGTCTTCCGCATCTGCACGGCGCCATTCTGGGTCACCCATCTGATTGCAATGCCCCGTGTCGTGGTCGGTCTGCCAAGAAGGATCGGGAGAGCGTCAGCGGCGACGACTCTGACGCAGGAAAGTGATGACAACACACCGCTCCTTCCCACCGCAACATCACCCTCGGGCGCGTCCGATCCCTGGTCTCGCACGTCACGCACTGCAGCCACACGTCGTGGCACCGGTCCAGGTCGTCGAACGTCGCGCGCGCCGGGTCGAGCCCGAGCGCGGAGACGACCCGGCGCATCGAGTCTACCCTCTGAAGCTGCGCACGTACTGGCACGCGGGTCGCTGGCGGGAGGGCTATGCAGAACGGGGAACTAACAGCAAACATGGACTGCGTTTTGGCTTCGTACGCTTGCCATTGTTGCGACGACCATGTCAAGGTTTTGGCCGTCCGCGTGTACACATCTTCTCGCTCTAATTCTTCCCTGAGACGCCGGACGGAGCGAACGCAGTTGTGCACAAGTAAATTGGGGTACCGCATTGAACTCAGGGTGGCTCGGCACTCCATGTCGCAGCCGAAGGACGCGATGGCAAGCTCGAGTGGATCCGCGTCCGGGGCAATATCACCTAAGTACGGGCGGATGTAGTCCGTGAACCGTGTCTTCCACTCCGTCTGCCAGCGTGTCGCGAGGACTGGAATCACAGTGGCGACCTGCTCGGCGGTGACCGTCTCCGTGACCGGCACATCGAGGAGTGCTCTGCACTCAGGCATGAATGCGAGGTCGATGTACTGCGGCCGGCAGTCCATGTACGCCCGCCGCGGGAGCGTCACGTAGTGCGCCCTCAGCGCATCCTCCACCAAGCCGAAGCGGGCCCGGAGCGTGTCTCGCAGTTCCCTCTCGATCCGCTTGGCTCTTGTGTCGTTCAAGAACTTGTCGAGCGTGCTCAGCACCTTCTGCCACGCTGTGGCAGAGACAATCAGTTCAGCAACTGCGTAGGCATGCATGCCACTGACCTCCTTCTGTGAGTTTCGATGATTGTCGCACCACAGGCAGCATCGACATAGCGTATAATTCTTCTGCGCTTAGGAAGTCAACCTCCTTGTCCCATCCGGCGTTACGCAGGCGGACGATGATCCTAGAAGATGGGACTAGTATCAGCGCTGGAAATGACTACTAGTACCACTTCGGACGCACGTTTCGAAGCGCTGCTTTCTGTCATCCTCCAGCTGCGCCTTCCGTACATCCTGCTGATGCTCAAACCAGGTGGAGATCGCGTGGGCATACTAAGGGATATAGACCACATCAATACGATACCTGCGAGGTGCACACCGGTCACCGTACCGTCGAGCGATCGCGATGCTTTCTCGCGGCGCCCTCGAATATTGTACTGAGCATCGGATAAGGCGAATCTTGCGGAAACACTCCTATTTGCTCGATAACGTGTTCGATAAAACGATCGACGTCTTCCTTGAGTATCCGGTTGTGCTTCTCATCCTTTTGATGGACGTGGCTGAGAGACGTCATGAATACCAGTGGCGGACCCGCCATTCTGGCGTGCTGGCAGATATATGGGACTCGCCTCTTCGAGAAGTTATGGACAGGGAAATAACTCGGGAGGGTTTGAACGCTGAAGTACTTGTGAAACGTGGGAATCCCAGCAATCTTGCATGCTCTCCTGTGTGCATCCAAGTGCCATATGGTTCTATCGTTTCGCGTCAATAGTGATGTACGCACGGGCGTACGGTGGACACGCCCACCTTTCAGGTAGACACTTTGTACAGAGACGGATGAAGCAGTCCGGTAGGACCTTCCGCACGTTGGACGCACCGCAGTTCTACATCTGGCTGAGTCGACCTCCAATTCTACGAGAGCAAAAATGGACCTACATGGCAATGAGGTGCATAGAGGAGATGAATGAACGCGGGCTCGCTCATGAATGGCGGACGTGCTGGAAGATGCCCCGCATTCTCCCGCGCCCGTAATCACAGTTTCTCGTTCAACGCGCGGTTCAAGAAGAACTGACGAAACTTCTTGCAAGTGCGTGATAGGTGATGCAAATCTCTCGATTCGAGATGGTCGTATATCTGCCGCGCCCGCCACCATCAGCTTGGAATGTGCAGACGCGGGTGGCGAAAGTTAGTACTCACCATGAGTTGTATCTCGATAGCGATATCGGGAAGCGTTTGCAGGCGACCTTTCAGTACAACTCTTTTTGGCGTGACCGGAATGACTGCCGTTAGCTCTATCCCTGGGTCGACTCCCGAGTCTTGCTGTTCATTCGCGACGCCGGCCGAGCTGATACCACCATTGTCGTGTATGGCTCGGGTGGTCGCCCTCTTCGTACGTCGAGGCACATTTATTGCGTCGCTATCGGTACGCTGCTTCTTGCGTGGAGGCATGTGTGAAAGGAAAAGATTGGTGGTGAACGTCGTGGTTCAGGACAAGAGGCCCGTCCGTCCTCGCCACTCGCCGCCGTGATGCCGACATCGTCCCGATCCCGTGTGGCACTGCAACGCACGCGTAGTTCTAGACTAAGGTCGACAGTCTCTCTTCTCCGACGCGCCTGTAGGCGCCATATCCGTGCATATACAGGCAACAGAAATATCTGGGGAGCAGCGGTAGACTCGGATGCCCGCAACGTAAGTACGGCGAATAAGTCTTTGTGCCTCATGCTAAGACCAAAAAAGAAAAGAAATCGACGCCAGCAGGACTCGAACCTGCGCCCACAAAGTGGAAGTGATAATGCACAGGTTCGAAACCAGTTCTAATCACTCGCCGTAACCACTTGGCTATAGCGCCGTAGTGTAAAGGACCATGATAGGCGCTATCACTACTCTCCTTATGCGCCCCATTCATTTCGACGCGCTTCTGGTGTCCGTTCTACGTATGTATGTACAAAGTATGTACTATATAGATCGCGAGCATTCGCACATCTAGTGGGTCGCGGTATACCTAATCTTGCACCGTGCTGTTGGGTAAAATACTTGGAGAATACAAGACAGCCTTTTTTTTTGAAGTGAACTTTGCCCTCTTCAACATTACTTAGAAGCATCCGGTGCTTTCCTGTACATTGAGATGCGTACTACAGGCGTCAGGCGTCCCGCGAGCTCCCAACCATCTACGAAGTCTTCCGTCAGTTTCAACAGCAGCGAGAATCACCGGAGTATCCTACCAGAAAACTTCAAGATTATTTCAATCGAATGTGCAGTCGCAAATGTGACTATTGCCAACACACTTGCAGAAGGGGTCAGAGCCAACTGTCCAGTCACGGTCAACCCGCTTCAAACGTGGAAATAAAGGTACTACGCACGACCGTCTCCACCGTCGTAGGCAACGGGGCTCGCCGACACGAAGGTTAAAAAGACGGCGACGAGCCGAGCACCTTGCGGAGGACCTGCATCGGAGAGTCTATGTGCGGGAGAGATAGCGGAGAGGCGGCGCGTGTCCTGTTGGACTCCGTTGTACTGACGCATAGCTGTGGGTCTCGAGGCACATATATACGCAGAGAATGCGCCTCTCTATTCCTGTCTCAACGCGCCCTCTAGCATAGCCGCATAAGTATTACCACAAGTAGATGCTCCGACGAGCAAGGGTGCCTTACCGGTAGCTGACGTTTTCTCAAGAATTTCGACAAAGGGTGGCAGTGGGGGAGGCGTTTTGACATCGCCACATATTCCGGTCAAAATGCAGCTGTCCATGGGGCTCGTGTGGAATGGCGGTGGTGACAGTGGTGGGACTCTTTCGACGAGAACGCGTAAAACTCAACTTGAAGGGGCACGCCTCTTGTCACGCCGAGACCGATCATGGCCGCGCACCCAGAGCAGGCTCGGGACAGAACCCAAGACGACGTCCCGCAGCCTCATCTGCTGGGACCGGCGACAATCATACTAGTCGCGTGCACTAAGGCCCGGGTCTTGGAAATCGCCATAACGACTTCACCCAGTATATTTCAACCGCGAATGTTGCCTGTAGATGATAGACGGTGTCAATAAGTGCCATGTAGGAAGGCAGAACCCACAGATTGCAGAGTGCGCGAAGCTGGATGCGACGGCACACACAACGCATGTTCGTCGAGGTGATTCTACATGTTTGATTTTGGTTATAGCCCCAGGAAAATGTATGTGTCTATGATATGGGGCGCTTACCGCGAGGGACTTGGACAAGATGTCGTACATAACACGGTTGATCCCGGCGACCTCGTTGATAATCCACGACGAGATACGGCGCAGGACCTCTGAGACAAAGACGAACCTGACAGCGTGCGCTCCGGCGTCCCTTCTACTAGATTGCAAGCAAGTTCGTGACAGTAGGAGACTGTATCCGATGCTTGCTTGTACGTATATATCAGGATGCCACAGGCGTCAGGCAGTATTCCGTCTCCCCAGCCAACTACAAAGTTTTTCGTCAGGCTCAACAGCAGTGAGAGTGATTAGAGCGTCCTACCAGAAAACTTCAAGATTATATGCAGTCCTCGCAAATGACTCCATTTCCATGTGGTACACACTTGCAGAAAGGGTTAGAGCCCGCTGTCGTCCCCGTCAGTCAACCGCCACCTAATTTGTTGAAGTAGGAGCACTACGCACGATCGTTTCCACCGTCGTCGGCAACGGGAGTTGCCACGGTGAGCGCGACAAAGACAGCAACGAGGACGACCACCTTGCTGAGTATCTGCATCGGAGAGTTGTGCGCGGGAGGTGCAGCGAAGAGGCGGTGCGTGTTCTGTCGGACTCGGTTGGACTGGCGAGCTCTGCTTGGCGCAAGCCTACTGGGTATGCCTATATATGCGGAGGGCGCGCCTCTATATTCCAGTCTCAGCGCCGTTCAGATGGTCTCATGCGGATAACCACAGGTGCCTCGCCGGTGGCTGATGCTTTCTCAGGACTTTCGGCGCAGGGCAGTTGCGGAGGCGTTTTGGCATCGCCACGTACTCCGGTCAAGATGCAGCGTTCCACAGAGCGCGCGCTCTCACGCTGGCGACGACAGGAATTACGTTCTAATGGCCAATAAACGTCAGGTACATGTCAATGGGGAACAGGTTTTGGCGTACCAGGACAAGTCTTCCCCACACTCCGCAGCCGAGCACCTCGAATGAACCCACGACAGAACCCTAGGCCACTTGCCCGCAGACCCACCTACAGGCTTTGCGCAAGCATAGCATCTGCACGAGGTCCTGGGGAGATATTCACATCGTCGTTCAGATCCGGGTGGACTGATGCTCGCCACTGCATCATACAACTTGCTTTAGTTTCTTCGGCGAATAATCTGTGCATATGATGAATGGGAGAGGTATGAGCGACTGCAGTATCGAGGACCGATCATTGTCCGCCGAAAGACTGTTGCCCGTGACAGGCGAAAGCACGACTTGCTGGGGCTTGCCACGGCTTGCTGTTCTCCGCATTCATCTGTAAGACACATACAACGTGATATTTCTACATGTTTGGATTTCGCTACAGTCCCAGAAAAATGTGCACTTCTATGATCGTGAGGTTATGAACTACAGCCACTCCACCGTCTGCGAGAGTCTGTCAGAAAGGGCAATCCAGAACTCAATCTGAACGGATGGTGCTTACCGCTGGGGGCTTGGACGAGATGTCGTACGTGACACGGTTGATGCCCGAGACCTCGTTCGTGATCCGCGACGAGATGCGGCGCAAAACTTCGGAGGGGAAAACGAACCTGAGAGCGACCAGTCAGTTGGTTCTATCCTTGAGCCGAAGACATGCAGTAAGACTGACCAGTCGGCCGTCATGAAGTCTTCCGATTGAACGGCACGCAGAGCAATCACCTACGGATGGAACAGTAAGCGCATTTCCGTAAAATGACAGCTTTCGGTACCAGTACGCACCTGCTCATACGTCCGAGCGTCACCCATGACACCAACTGCCTTCACGGGCAAGAGAACCGCGAAGGCCTGGGCGATCTGATTGTACAGACCCGCCTTCCAAATCTCCTCGATGTAGATGCTGTCCGCCTGCTGCAGGATCTTGACCTGCTCGCGCGTCACGAGGCCCAGAATCCGGATGGCGAGACCAGGCCCTGGGAAGGGGTGGCGCTGGACGAGGTGGTCGGGGATGGAAAGCAGGCGGCCAAGGGCACGGACTTCGTCTGCATCAAGATGTTCAGTATGAGTCGCACATATTTTTCGGCATAGTCTAGGCGCGTACCCTTGAACAGCTCCCGCAGAGGCTCGATCAGCTTCAGCTTCATGTCCTTCAGCAGACCGCCGACGTTGTGGTGCGTCTTGATCGTCGCGCTCGGGCCCTTGAAGCTGATGCTCTCGATGACGTCGGGGTAGAGCGTGCCCTGGAGGAGCCACTCGATCTTGCCCTTCGCCGCCGCGCCCTGGGCCTCCTCGGCCTCCGCAATGGTCTCCAACTTCTTCGCCTCCTCCTCGAAGACGTTGATGAATGTGTTGCCGATGATCTTGCGCTTCTGCTCGGGGTCCTCGACGCCCTCGAGACGGGAGAGGAAGAGGTCGGACGCGTCGACGACGGTCAGGTTGACGCCGAGGTCCTTGTTGAGCATCTCGTGTACTTGCTGCGCTTCGTTCAAACGGAGCACACCGTTGTCGACCATGATGGCGTGGAAGCTAGAACGAATGATCACATCAGAGGGTGTGCGCGGTCGTCGCGCGGGGTGCACCTACCGGTCACCGATAGCCTCGTGCATGAGCTTCGCAGCGACGGTGCTGTCGACACCGCCGCTAACAGCTCCGATGACGCGCCCTTTGGGTCCGCAGATCTCGCGAATGCGCGAAATCTCCTTCCCAATGAACTCTTCCTACGAAAACGTCAGACGGGTGTTACTGCCGCATGAATGAGCGCCTTACCATGGTCCAGTGTTGTGCACTTCCACAAATGCTGATGACAAATCTGGAGATGACCTCCTTGCCGCGTTTTGAGTGGGTGACCTCGGGGTGGAACTGGATACCGTAGAAGGGCTTCGAGTTGTGCGCGATGGCGGCGAACGGCGCGGTTTTCGTGCGGCCGATGATGTGGAAGTCAGGAGGCAGCTCCGAGAGCTGGTCTCCGTGCGACATCCATACCTAAGATACGATGAGTACTCGAACGTGTCCAAAGCAATGTTGTGCATACCTGGAGCTCCTCTCCGAGATCCTGGAAGAGGGCGTCCGCACCCTTGCTTTCGCCGCCAATCTTCGAAATCTGGACCTGCGCGAAACCATATTCACGGTGGTCGCACTTCGCTACCTTGCCCTTCATGTTCCATGCCATTTCCTACTTTCTCCACCATAAGGAAAGGCTCTGTACTTAGTAGCAAACGGGTGGGACGCACCTGGAGGCCATAGCATATACCGAGGACTGGGACGCCAAGCTCGAAGACCGCGGGGTCGACATGAGGCGCGTCCTTGTCGTAGACGCTGTATGGCGAGCCAGATAGAATCACGCCTACGGGCACTCATCAGCCCGCGTCATTCGTGGCGAGATATACCACGGACCCTTCGGCTTGAAGTTGAGATCCTTGATCTTTTGGGTGCATGGCATGAGCTCGGCGTAGACGTTTAGTTCACGACATCTTCTGGTGATCAGATGGCTGTACTGCGATTGGGCTTTAGTGGTGCTCGCGCCAGGTTCACGGGACGCGTACTTGTGAGCCAAAGTCGAGGATTAGGATGGTGTCAAACTGGTCGTGAATTTCAGCCATGGCGGAGGGAGAGAGGGAGAAGGGTAGGAAAGGGAGCGAAGGCGTAGGTTTAGCTTTCCCGTCCCTGGAGGAGTCAATTGGGATGAAGACAATTTGCAGATAAGATAGACGCGCGTTTCAATTATGGGCGCCTTGTG